CCCCAAAACCCCAAAACCCCAAAACCCCAATATTTTAATTAAATATTGAGTCGTTAATTGTTACTTTTATAAGCATCAGCTTATTTTTAAATAACTTATGACCACATAACATCATCAAAACTAACATTCTCTGCACTTAACTCTCAGATTCTCAACACAAATCAAAAAAGCTCTCATCTTCCTCAAAATGCCCACTAATTTCTACACGTCCTAACCCATTCTGCCTCAATATCCTCTTCACAAACCCTCTCTCCACCCCCAGAACCCTCCAAAATCTACTTTCTCCAGTTTTAGCCTCAAGTCCGAGTTCGCCAAGCCCATGATCAACCTATTCAACTCTTGTGGTCTTCCAGCCCAATTGTTGTAATGTTCAAACTATAAGGCTCGTGGAACTCCTTGCCTTTAGCTTCATTTTGTGGCTTAAGCTGCTTGCTGAGCTCATTAATAAGATCTGGCATGCCCCTGATCGAGGCCAGATCAAAGTCAAATTTGGTAATCTCCTTAAAAAGATACACAAACCCGACCCTCTCAGCTAGGGCTTCCTTATCAACCTCTAAACTCTCACCAGGGATGACTTACTTTCCTCTTCTCCGATCTTGACCTCTTCATCAGAGTCTTGCTGATGTTTGCCCTACCATCTCTGCAGATCAATAATCTTGACTCTGAAAGGATCTGCGCCTTTCTCGCTTAGAGCTTTCTTTAAGTAAGCAATGAAGTTCTTGTTGCACTCTATTTTGTGTTTCTCTAACTTCTTTTCAATACTAGAGAGCCCCTTGATTATCTCCAAGGGATCTTCGTATACGAAAAGCAGGCCCTTGTAGCTGATCATGAACTTACGAGGTTGTATACGGAAGTAAGCCTCCGCACGGGATTTCAGATCAGTAATCTTAAGGTTGATATACACCTCTTAACTCTTGTCTTGATACATTAGGAGAGTTTTGCGTGAGATTCGTTTTATTTTACTTCAGATATTTCAATTTATTTATAACTAATTGGGGTTTTGGGGTTTTGGGGTTTTGGGGTTTTGGGG